AAAATTATAAATTATGCTAAAAAACAAATAAACACAAAAAAACACAACACAGTTGAAGATATAAAGCAATCATCAGAACCAGACTCAGATATGACATAGATTTTGAAATTATCAGCCAAAGAAATTAAAAATACTATGATTAATATGTAAGGATGCTAATAAAAAGAAAAGTAAGTGACCTGTAAAAACAGATGAGTAATGTGAGCAGAAAGATAAAAATTCTTCAAAAAAAAAAAAAAAAAGCAAATACGTTCAAACCCACATAAACAATCAAATATGCAATGGCACCATCCTCAGCCTCTTCCTGACATGGAGCTCCCACTCTTTTCCTAGGGTTTTGTCTCATGCCATACTTGACATGACAAGTGATACTCCATAAAAAACTAGTGAATGAACCAATATCAATCTGTATATACATATTTACAATCTGCAAATACATATGCACCCCACTTTGGAGACAACTGCATCATGACATAGCCAAGCCCCACTGTGTTGGGCAGTTGATTCATAAAAGAAGAGCTAATTCATGCTGTGATTCCATTTTCCATTGTGACCCTCAGATGAACTATGTCTTCTGATGATTACATTTTTTATAGATAAAGGAATAATCTTTCCACTTAACCTGCTAATGCCCAGAATTGATATCTAGAATCAAAAGCTAGTCACAGTAAATCAGTATTTAAAAGGAGAGAAATTGGTCTAAAAGTCAATTCATCTTTCATTTAATTATGAAATAGAGTTGTCTTAGATTAATATTTGCCAGTTACTTTAATCAATGCTAGTAGGCATTGAGGATTCTTGAGTTTGACTTTTTCTAGTTGATTGACAGAACTGTAGTATTCATTCAATATTCACCTTCCCACTTTGTCCCCAGCCTTCTTTAAATATAGCAAAGCCACATGACTGGCTTTGGCCAATGGGCTTGGGAGCAGAAGTGGCATGGATCACTTTTAAAAGAAATTTAGCAGAGGAGGCACGAGGTCTTGATGTGCTCTCTCTACCACATGGGAGAGCCTGTGTCAGCTGTATCCCTAAGCTTCCGTGAGTAGGAGAGCCTCATACCATCTTCCTCCCTACATACAACTACATTAGACACATAGCATAAGCAAGAAAAAGAGTTGTTTGGTTAACCTACCAAGATTTCAGAGTTTATTCATTATTCTAGTATATCTTAGCCAATCCCAAATGATACAGTAATCCTGGGGCAAATTTGGCTCTTGTTTTTCTTGCCTTTTCTGTAATAAGAAGAAAACCACAAATGTAGTCTACCTGCTTCATGAGCTGTCACACAGAATTACATATAGGCTAATTAGTGGGTAAAGCCTGTATACGCAGACTGGAAAATGCACCCTAGCGCTATGTACGTGAACATTATAGTTTCTATAGAGGCTCACTTTCTGAAAAGAGTTATCCCTTTTTAGTGTAAGTGTAGATATATGGCCTATAATTGTCCCAATATTGGACTACCTCCTACTATTCAAAATAATACATTTTAACCTCACCTGATTTTCCTCAAGGTGTCTTTGCAAATAAAGGCCTTTTATTTGGCATTATACATTCTCCCTTCCTCCAGTATACACCCATACTCATTTGCTGCCCTATGACCTCCACACATGTTAATTAAGTGAATAATACATTTAATGCATTTATTATAAAAATGTATTTATTAAAACAATAAACAGATTTGACGTTTCAAGGCTCTGGAATGTGCTATTCTCCAGTTGTTAGGGAGGTCTTGGCCTGGGGTAGGAAAATAAAATTATGTGAAGAGAGAGATAGGAGAGTGGGAATAGAGTAGACTCAGGCAGGATCTACCTACGTATTTCTTCAGTTCTACTGCCCTGTATATTACCTAAAACTTTCATGAATAAATGAAAACTAAAAGCAGAAAGTTTATTGTTGGTTAACATTTTAAATGACCCACAAGATCATTCTTTCAGTAAGTTAAAAGATAAAAATGACAACCGTGGAGGCAGTGCTTTCTGTTGTCACTAAGATTCATTAATTTAAAAATAAGCTGATGTTCACACAAAAAAAATCAATTTTTATTTTTGTTTTTTTCTACTTGTACAGGCCAATGATTTATAAAAACAAAATTTGAGTAAGTGATCTACATATTGTGTTAAAAATATTAGTAATCCAGTTGATAGGAATAGTTCCCCTACTTTAATTAAAGGACAATACAGCATGTTGAAATCTAAATAACCAGTACTATTGAAATAACTGTGTTGATATTTTGTACCCAACTGATATATCTAACAGTGAGAAGTCTTTCAAAACAACATTAAGTATTTTTTTAGAATTTTATAAGTCATTTATTTCTCAATACCTTAATCTTTTATTAATGTATTGGGTTTTAAATATATATAGTAAGATAATTAAGCACTTCATTGGCCAGGTACAAAAAATTAAAAGATGAGAAAGCCAAAATGTAGAATTCAGCAACTCCTAACTGGAAACATTAAATGCCCATAAGCATTAGTTCTGATCAAAAAGAAAACATGTTAAGCAGATATCTAATGTTTGATTTATCCTGAGTAATGGCTTCATGTCTATGAATCAAGCACAGCATTAGACATTAAAGGACATAGTTTTTGATAGCAAGGATCTCACAATCTCGTGAAGAAACAAGCATGAAAACAGATAGCTAGAATGAATATGTTGTCAAAAAAAAAAAATCCTTTGGAGGGGGGCTTTGAAAACCTAGGGAAAAAGGATCTAACCGAGGTTAAGATGAGCATGACTAGGAAAAGATCAGTAGGATTTAGCAAAGAGAAAGACAATTAGGACACACTGGAAAGAGGGAAGAATATAAGCAACAACGCAGAAGAGAAGAGAGTGTATTTGGTTGGAGAACTCCCAACCAGACTGAACACTGTCTATGTATTGAACTTTCTCCATTGAAAGTTCTATTGGACAGCTCATATTTTCTTCTCTCTAATGCAGTAACCACTAGCCACATGTGGCTATTAACCTCTTTAAATGTGATGCGTGTAACTGAGGGATGGAATTGTTAACTTTTAAAATATTGTAATCAATTTAAAATGACACTGATGCAGCCACTTATGGCTAGTGGCCATCCTACCATATAGCAAAAGTATAGATTATGAACTGCTGAAACAAGAGGCGGAACACAAGGCTCACACGCGGAAGAGTTTTATAAGCCATGTTAAGTAGTTTGGATTTCAGCCCAAAGGTAAAGAGGAGTTAGTGGTGAAGAATGTTAAGCAAGGTGTGATGTGACCAGATTTCCTTAGAAATACCATTCTGGCAGCTGTGTTTAGCATGGTTAGGGAGGCTCAAGGCTTGAGGCAAAGACAGCAGATAAGCTGTTACAGTTTATACAAAGGAAAGTGGATTGCAGATGATAGCAGGGGAAATGAGGAGGAGAGAGATATGATTATATTTGAGATTAAGGGACAATATGAAAAGCCACTTTATGGTGTCTGGATTAGACATATAGGTGGAAAAAGGTGCTAGTCACCAACAGGCAAAATATAAGTTAAAAAAAAAACATGAAGAGTTGCTCTGCCTTAGGGATGTTGAGTTTGAGTTGCCAGTGAAGTGGACAGTGAAGGGAAAAATGTATAATACGGAGTACATTAGCAAAGTATAATAGGTGGGTACATTAGCAAAGACAATATAAAACAAAAATAGCACCTGGACAAATTTTGTTTAGTCTTTATATTCATTGGCAGACATTTCATAACAATCTGTTGACATCTTTTCAAGCTCAAAGAATTCAAATTTAATTAAATACATTCAATGCAAAACATTATTAAATATAAAACAATCAAAATCATAAAGTGCTTCTAAATTTCACTTTAAATATCAATTATAATTATGTAATATCTTGAAAAGCATCTTCTTTAAACTTTGGAACTAGTTATGTTTTAGATCAACTTGAGATCAGTAATTTCTCAAATACTAAATTATAATGTCTTTCCAAAGGTACCTTCTAGTGTTAGGTGACATTCTACATTAAATAGATTTAATTTTAGTGTATGAATATCTTTTTTTCTGGCCAATGAAATAAATATTTGCTTTCTTAAAAGCCTTCCTCCCCATACAAAAAACAAAAAGCTTTTATTGTTTCAGAACCCATCTGGAAACTGATTTAAATCCATTTTCGGGTTTCTACAGAGAGCAATTATAGCCCATTTCAAAGTATGCAAAAAAAAAAAAAAGAAAGAAAGAAAATATAATTGCAAATCTACACAATGACTATTTTCATGTTCTAAACCCATATCTGAAATCTAAACAAAAATTCTTTATGGGGAAACACAGTCCACTATTTACATTTACAATTCCATGTAGTCACAAATAATAAAATAATCATTGGTTCCGAATGCTTTTGGGGACAGCTTGATATTATTTCACCAATGATTTATATACATCTTTGTCATTTTTACACTGGATGTCTAGTTCTTTTTTGTGGATTCTTTAAAAATACAATGCACATCTCCAAATTACAAGCTGGCTGTATTCTAAAAGCTTTCTGGGTAGGCAATTTGGCACCCAGAATATCTGTTTTTGCCATGGAAAGAATGTTATAAATGTTTGAGAGGTTCCCAGGTGATATACAAATGCCTGCTGGCCTTGTGGGTGAAGGTAATGGCACTTGAGAACCAGAAGGCTTGTTGGGGACCCTCAGGTCTGGAATGTAGAAGTGATTAAAACCCTCAAAAATTGAAGAAGAAGGAGGAGGAGGAGGAGGAGGAAATTATGCTGAATGATGCCAAGAAAAAGGGCAAAGGCTGAGACTACAAGAAAGGTTAAAACAGACACATACACACACCCTTTAGGAATGGTGAGAAAAGGAGAGAGAGAGAAAAAGAGGGAGAGGAGAGGCCATATCACCGTGTGATGCTATTTTCAATTTCACTTTCACTCTAACCCTCTGTGGTTAGTGAAGGAGATAAAGGGCAGGAGAGAAGTTGAAGGAAGAGAGCTTTCTATTTTCCCCTCCCTACTCCCCTCCCGAAATTGGCTCCTTCCAGCTAAGCTCAGATTCTGCCCTTCTTTCCCTAAATCTGGCTATATCACATCGAGATAAAAGACTGTTGTACACAAATAAAAAACTTCAAAAAACAAAGGCTACCCAGTGAATTGTTTTATGTAGATAATTATAATATTGGCTACTGTCTTTTGGAACTATCCCATGCTGTGGTCACACAGCTATAATGAAGAAATCATGCTGTGAAGTGAAAAGTCGCCTCTTCCTCTGGGATTAGATGCAGATTTGCCTTCTTCCAGAAAGGTTTCAGAACACTGGGAGGAGAGAAACAGCAGTAAGGAGTAGTAGAAGGAATTGTCTTGATTTCCTGTTTTGTTAGCCTGGAGAAAAGGTGCTTTTGCAGGAAACAAACAAACATCTTTTGTGTTCCTTGTTGGCAAAGCAATTGATTCTAGTTAGAGATTGGCTGGGTGCCACAATGTAACCAGTTCTTCTCCTTTATTCTGAAGAGTACAGTAGGAAGAGCTATAATCAGGACTTTTTTTTTTTTTCTTTTCTTATTGCAGCCAATTTATTACATTTCTTTCGTCCAATTGCATGCAATTCTGAGGTCACATTTTATAATATTAAAAAAATTATAAACAACAAAAATGTACCTTTTTTGAGACATTTTTTAAAAATAAGTGGGAGAGGACAATTTTTTATACCAGTATCCCCTTTCTCCAAAGTGATATGTTTACCCTCCTTCTTGATAAAGAAACCAAACCAAAACCTCATGCTATGAGCAGAAAGATAACAGAGGCTGTATTGAAACTCTATCATTCTGATATGGATGTTACAAAGGGGACTACAATGTGTGACAGGCACCTGAAGAGCACAGAGGACACCCCCAGCAGCCATCACATTTCTATTAGGTTTCCTTTCAGAAGCAAACATTGTAACATTGAGTTTTATTTAAATTTCAATTAAGTTTTATTAAGAAAGTAACTGATAGCCAAAATCATTGACTTATTTCACTTATCTACTATACTGTTATATCACAAGCCATTTAACCTCTGATTTATTCTAAAGGTTGATTTATTTTATTATAAAGGAATACATTCTCATTAATAAAAGGAAATAGAATAAGAAAAAAATATGACCTATAGTTTTGGCACTTAAAGACAATCTGTGTTAGCACTTTGACCTATTTCTTTTTGGTTTTATTCCTTTATGTGTCTATATTGTATATATTTGTGATATATTCATTTACGCACACAACAAATTATGTTTTCTACTTTTTGTTTCTTTCATACTTTTTTGTTCAACATTAAAATGTATTTAATAAGACATTTCTCTTTTTCTAATAATAAAGATAACATAATGTACTTTATTTTTTAAAAAACTATGGAAAGACATATATATATAAAGATTAAAATTATCATTGATTTGGTGACAGCAAAGATAAGCACATTTTGGTATATATCCTTTTCATTTGTAGCTCATGAATATCTACTCATTCATTTACTCAGGTATCTTTTTGGAGGAGCTATTATGTTCCAGGCTCCGTCCCTTGTACCAGGAATACAGCAGTGAATGAAACAAAAATCCTTGCCCTCATAGAGCTTGCATTCTAGACAAGAGAAACAGAAAGTACATAACCGAATAAAATATGCAGTTTGTAAATGGTGAGATGTGCTATGGAGGAAAGGAAAGTAGGAAAATGACATGGAGTGAGTAGAGAGAATTGCTGTTGTAAATAGGGTAGTCAGAGAGGGACTCACTGAGACTGGGACATTTGAGCCAAGACAGGAAACAGGTGAAGAAGTAAGAAGACTATCTGATGGAAGAGTAAATGCAAAGGTCCTGAGGTAGGAAGTTTCCCAGTGAATTCTATAACAAGCAAGAGGCTAGAGTAGAGAGAATTGAGAGTATACAAGGTGAGATTCCAAAAGGTAGGGAGAATGATATTTCTTTTCTTTTCTCTGAGTAAAATGGGAAGTTACTAGAGAATGTTGAGCAAAGAGTTGACCTCATGTAGCTTTTGTTTCAAACAGTCTGTCCTGGAATTTTGTGTTTAAAAAAAAAAGCTATAGAGGGGTAAAGAGGATCAGTAGGAGGTTGTTGCAATAATTCTGGGGAGAGATGATGGTGGCTTGGACTCAAGAGGTAATAGAAAATGATGAAAACCTCTAAAAGGTTCAGATAACAAGATTTGCTGATGTAAGGGGTGAGAGAAAGTGGAAAGTTACAGGTGGGTCTACCTTTAGTCTGAGCATGTAGTGGGGTGTAGTTGTGTTTACAGATGGTCCTCAACTTATGATAGGGTTACATCCAGATAAACCCATCCTAAGTTGAAAATGCATTTAATAATTCTTGCCTACCAAACATCATAGCTTAGCCTGGCTGCCCTTGAATGTGCTCAGACACTTATAATTAGCCTTCAGTTGAATGATCACCTGGCAATACATGTGCTGTAGACTAAGAGGTGTTTACCTTTGTGATCATGTGGCAGACTGGGAGCTGTGGCTGTCCAGCATCACAAAAGAGTATCATACTGTATATTGCCATCCCGGGAAAAGATCAAAATTCAAACTTCTACGTATGGTTTCTACTAAATGTGTATCGCTGTTGCACCATCATAAAGCCAAAAATTATAAGTGGAACCATCATTAAGTCAGGGGCCGTCTATACTGAGTTGAAGGACTAAGAGAGGAGCAGCTTTATGGGGAAGGCAAGAAATTTGGTTTTAGACATATGCAGTTAAAGTGGATATGTGAATCTACAATTGAAGGGAGTGACCCAGTCTGGGGATAAACCTTTGGCAGTTGTCAGAATATTTATGATATTTAAAACCATGTGATAGGATGAGATCATGGGAGAGATGAGGATGGGGGTTGCCTCTTGTGCAGAGAAAAGGGAATTTTACAAGAGTCATTATTAGCAGGATCAAATCTAGTAGAGAAGTCAAATTGAATTGTATTCAATCACAGGCTATCCTGAAAACTGAATAATCTTGTGAATTTGGATTTTTAAAATTTTGGTAGACTTTTTGGAAAACAACAACCCTAACTGCTAACTTGTCTACATAATAAAGCACTGATATAATATAGTATTTAGACCTCTGGAAGTGCTTAAATGATACATTGGGGAATGGAAGAATGTATTAGGTCATATAAGAATTAATCATTCAATATATTATTATAGTATCGTATGTAGTTTATATGAAATGGCAAGAAGACGTGTATATATGTATGTATGTCTAAAAAAATTTTAGAGGTGAGAGATTTAAAATGTTTGGGAAACACCACCCTGCAGTGACGGAATCAGCAGAAAGTTGAAAAGGTCTTTTTGCTCCCTAGTTGTGTTATGGTTCATCTGGAAACAGACTGCCATCCTTGTGTTTGGATGTATGGCTAAAAATGCCACTAAGTACCCACGCGCTTGGCTGCAGCTGGGTACATGCCATAATGCCAGTACCAATGCTCCTGTCCTGCACCCTTTCTCTGGAGGCCTGGAAGGTCTTGATGCTGGGCTCAGGGTCCACACTCTTGGTTCCTACACTCAGTGATAGTGTCCCGCAGAGCTGAGCTGGGTCTCAGCCACAGCAGCCAAGAGGAATATCCGTTGCACAGTGAAATCCAGGGCTTGAGAATATTGTCCTGCTTCCTTTGTTCTGTTTTCTGCAATTATTTCATCTGAGAGAGACCTGCTGGGGTTCCTGCATTTGTCCTCGGAGGAGGGGGCCAGCGCAGCAAAGTCTGGAGGCTGCTTAAAAACCCTGCGTGTGGCACTGTGATCATTTCTCGTCATTTATTTTTGCTGAAGCTATGTACCTTTGATTAAACCTGGCACAGCACTTTAGAAGTCACTGATACACATCAAAGAGGTTAGCTCTTCTAGATCAAAATAGACTGAAGGTTTGGACTTGGACCAGCGCTGTTTGAACACTAAGAACAGACCGCAGCAGGAGGCAATTGCTTTTGGACAAAAATCAGGAAATAACCAAATAGATTTCCTCTATTTCTTCCTTCATTAGCAGCATGGCAAATGCCTTCATCCTGTCAGAAGATAAATCTTTATTGGATTTTTATCCAAAAACCAGTTTGGAGGGTAAAATTCAAGGTGGAAAACTTAACTTTTTAAACTACTAAACATTGTAATACAGATAAATACAATTTATGTTTGATGAGTTAAATAAAATAAATACCTTGGTTTTTTTCCTTTTATTTTATATGCAATTGTTGATGGAGCCCAAATGTGTTTGAAGAATGTGGATTTTCTTTGTCTCCATTTGGTGATCTGGGAACAATTAAAAAGGACACATACATACATCAAAAAATTAGATCAAGTAGAAAAATTTTACATGTATGTATGTCTAGGAGAATTTTTTTTCAAAGACATTTTGAGAGAATGGAGGAGTTTCATTTTTTATATAATCTATCTTCAGAGATCAGTACCTTGATTTATAATAGATGTCCAATAAGTATTTGTATAAGTTATTTTAAATGCCTATTTCTAATCACATCTATTATAAATAAATGTATTAAATATTAATAGATCATACATCATCTATTTAAAATTAAATCAGTCAACATTTGTAGAACACGTACAACTAATAGAAAAAAACAACTAACAGCCAGCAATTCTGTCTTTAGTTTTTTAACAATGAGACTTCTAAGTGCTGAAAGATTAGCAACCCCATTTGTTCTATACAACAGCTCTGTGATGTAACTATGTTATTGATCCATTTCTACAGATGAAGCCATTGAGGCTTTGAGAGTAAATCAATGTGCCTTATGGTCAGGCAATGATTTGAATCAGGCATTGGCAAACTTTCTCTGTAAAGGGCTGGATAGTAAATATTTTAGGCTTTTGGGGACAACATAGTCACTGTTGCAACTAGGTCACTGTTGCAATTTACTCAACTCTGCTGTTGTAGCATGCAAACAGCCATAGCCCATGCATAAATGAATGAGTATGGCTGTATTCCAGTGAAATTTGATTTATGTACTGACATTTGAATCTCACATAATTTTCACATCGTGAAGTATTATTCTTCTATTGATTTTTCCCCAACTATTCAAAAATATAAAATCCATTCTTAGCTCACAGGTGTCACCAAAAGAGGTGATAGGGCTAGATTTTGTGCATAGGTGGTAGTTTACCAACCTCTGATATAAACCATAGTGTCAGCATTCAAACTTGGATTTTTCTACCATTGCCCATGTTCTTTCCATTACACCGTATGGATTTGTTTCATAATTGAGGAGAGACCTTACTCAGAGACTTGAAATCTGGAGAGTTTTACTGCTGTTTCTACTTTTGAAATTAAGTATAAGCCTCAAACATATTAAGCTTCTGCATCCAAAGAGAAAGATAGAGTAATCACCGGCAGTAGAGTAATTACCAAAGAGAGAGCCAATAGCAAGCCCAATGAACACTTCATTGTCAGCTAGAGGGTTTGGCTAAAAGTAAATTTAATACTCATTAAAAAATGAACATTGCTTTAATGCCACTTCAGAGGCTGGTAAATTGTAGCTCGCTCTAAGTAATTCAGGAAGCTGTCCCATTGCTTTAAGGCTGACATGTACTTACAAACAAATCCTTCAGTAGGAAGGAAGATTGGGAGAAGCCCCACTGTGGAAAGATTAGCTGTCCCCTGAAACAGTCCAGATTTGGAATTCTTCCCCTTGTGAAGAGCAGTAGGTGCAGAAGAGAAAGCACGCGTCGATTCTACAAAAAAGATGGTGTGTGAACTTCATAAAGTACACCCCCTCCAGAGGAAGGGTTTTGAGAATTGCACCTGCCTATGAAAATACTGATTAAAAACACACTCCTATCAAGGCACATTTCATCATTTTTATATTTGTTTTCCTCCTCCCATACCATGATTTATTACAACCCCTCTAAAGTGCGAAGCTGAAATTTGTCTCCTTAAACCTCTCTTCCGTGAGCGATTTTTGTTGGGATAGGGTTGTTCGTGAGAGCTTAGCGATTGCTGCGGTGCTGTGAAATAAAACTGTCAGTGTGATTTAAAAATACATATTGCAGAAAATAAGAAAATGCATTTTAAAAGCCTTGTCATTTTGTCTTCTATGGAAAACAAAGGCAGTGAGGGAGAGAGAGAGAGCTCAAAATAATAAAAAAGGCTTTGTTAATTGTGAGGCATTTACAACCTCAAAAATCACATCAGAGTGCCATGGGAACTAGCAGGTATGCAAGGGTCTCCGATCTAAAATAACAGGAGCCAATTACCCAAGTGATAGATGACTTCAAAGAAATGCACTTGGATAAGTTTATTAATGAAGGAAGGAAATGAGTGATTAACTATATGTATGTACATGCATGTACACTTTTGGATACATTGGAATTTTTTGGACTTGTATGTGAGGAGTTAATTATCTTGTGTACTACCCGTTTTCTTTTGTTCTGATGCTTCTGTGACATCACAAAATTATCTTAAGAATATAAAAATTGATCTGAAATGCTGGACTTGTCTTTAAATTGCTTTAATTTTATGTTTGTCTAAAAGCTATACTTGAAGTACCTCTTCAGCTATGGGGGTTTGTAGATGCATACCTATGAACTTGTAGGACATCTTTTCATCCAGAATAGCATTAACATATCAAAATGGATATTCTACGCTGCACTACTCTTTGAGAGGAAAATGTGTATTCATACACTATTGTGAATGGATAAAGGAAGAGAGGAAGAAGATAGTATGTAGAAAGGAGATAATTTTACCCCTTCCATTTAGATAGATAGATAGATATATAGACGATAGATAGATACATACATACATACATAGATAAATAGATAGATAGATATTTAAGAACATCCTTTAAACATATACCTAGGTATTTAAATTTTATAGATAAGTTCTTGGCAACCTCTTTCTCTTTCAAGAAACACATAGAAAATGATAATTTGTAAAATACACGTGGCAAACATGAAGGAGTTTGAGAACATCTATTTTGAATTTGGTGGATAATATTCTTTTATTTTACTTATAAAATTTTGGTAAGAAAAATAAAATGCACTGTATTAGTAAAGATGTTAGTTATTATTTTTAAACAAAACTTCCAAATATTTAAAGAGAAATTGGAGCTTGGTTATCTTTCATAGCAGGTTTTAAGCTTGAAGTGGCTATACATTTTTAAACATCTTTGAAACCTTTCAATTATTTACAACAGTTGTTGTTTTAAAAGAATCTAGTAAGTCTTCCTTTTCTTAAATCATCAACTATGTCATCAAAATTTCTTAAGATAGTGTGTTTGGACTTTAAACCCAGGTAATTTTTGTTTCATATCAAGAATTTCAGGAATAATGATGAAACTCCAATTTCCAAACATGCATACATTTGCTAGGGCAGTCACCTGGCAGCCAGTTCACATGCTGATAAAGGATATGTCCAGCAAATGGCCATAAGTGTACAACTTATGTAAGAATAAGTATTCAGGACCCCTTGAGGAACATATCCTCTGAGAGCTTCCCTCCTCCCATCCATGATTCCCCACCCTCCACGTGTATGACACATTTGGGGATGAGTGTCACATACTTTGAACACTTGGTACATTAGCTCTAGGAGACCTTTGTACCCTGGTTAGTAATGGGCAACCACAGACTCTGCATCTACTACAAATGCTGGTTGCTTAAGCATTTCTGGGCTATGCAAGCCACCATAGTGGGCAGGGGGCTGTATGTTGTTCATGGTATTCTTTATTGTGAGACCCTTCAAGTGGGCCTTTAAAAGGTTCCACCCAGAGGGCCCAAGGAGATAAGGAAGGGGTTGCATGTGTTTGCCCAGTCCAGGCCAGGTGATGAATGTAAATTATTTGTTTACAATAGTCCCCATTCTTTAAGTGCTCTAAAAGTCTTAATATTCTGATGGTAGGAAATTTAGGGTCACATTGAAAGTGTGAGATTTGAGTTATGATTCTGTGATACCAGGGCAATTCACAGGAATCAAGTCAAACATTGCAAAACTGATATCTTTAGGTAGCTACTTGTCATGTCTGGGTTGACATCATCAAAATACCACCAGAAATAGCTGGAAGAGCCTAGACTGCAAAGCTACACTCCAGATATTTGGTTACATACATACAGCCATGGTCTAGAAATTTAAGCAGTAGTATTTAATAAAACAGAAAGCAAATTAAAAATGAGTTGTATTGATAAATGTGATTAACCCAATTTAAATTTCAAGGCTTTAATATTTTAATAGGCTTAGTCTTTTGTCCTAGTCACATGCATAATTACTTTTCCTCATTCTTTCAATTTAATGACAGGAAAATCTGAATAATCTTTGTAGATAAATATACAGTGGGAAAAACTGATCTGAGTGAGCATAAATGTTACCAAAGTCCTGCGGTTACATTGTATGTGACCAAGTGCAAAAAGAAACCTTTATAATCTCACTGATCCTGTTTAGAAACAAATACTTTGTTTTCTCCAAATATAATGGAACAAGAGAATGTTTATCTAGTTAGCTTTAACTCTAATAATTTCTGTCAAAATTGAAACAGGAAAAAAAAAAAAGAAAGAAAGAAATTATCAGCATATAAATCCCAGGATGCAGCCTGACTCCTACACAACTCGCTATATTTTCCCCATCATCTTAAACACAGAATACGCTCAAATTCCAGGGAACAGGCAAAATTCAATTACTTTGTAAGTAGTCTTTGAAAGCATATTTCAATGGTTTACCATTGTCAAATTCAAAGGTTCTCAATAAAAGCATAGCAGAATCACCAACAGAATAGCTTCAAAATACATATTTCACCAAAGATAAATTATGCAAATCAATGAATAATAAACCCACCTCCAGTCTACTCTAGTTTGGTGACCTCTTAAACTCAAAGAGACCAAGAAAGGAATGCTGTTTATCCAGGTATATTCTGAGATGTGTGTGTGTGTGTGTGTGTGTGTGTGTGTGTGTGTGTGTGTGTGTGTGTGTCTACACATACCAGATCCGTACTCTGTCTCCTGGAGCAAGAACTGCCTAGTTTGACTTTGGAAACACTCAATTTCTGCAGAGATCCCCAGTCTCTGCCTTTATGCCGAAGGCATGGCTAGAATGGGGATTTGCCAAGCATCCATTTTTCAGTTTCTCCTTGCAGTACTGTCAGCCTGACCGTGTTTTCCTCTCATACTGCCATGGAGCTTATCAAGGCCTGATTGGCACAGACAGAGCCAGCACTTACCCACAATAATTTGGGGAATTCTGTGGCCTCCTTCAGAAACCTTCAAGTATCTATGGTTTCTGGGAAGCCAGGGAGTGAAGGATAGGAAGGGTCCAAGATTTCTTTGAGCTGTTTCCCCAGGAAACATGGCATCTAAATAATAGAAATGGCCATTCTGTTCTAATAATACTTCTTGTTTGTTGATGGACAAATTTTATAAATTTTTATTTGTCAATATAAGTACAATCTGTGAATATCTGATTATTATACAGTTATACGTTCCTGGTTTTGGGGGGTGTTTTTTTCCTACTCTAACATCCTCCTCTAGGGAAAAGAGTCACACTAAACATTTACTATCATGGCCTCTCCAAACTTAGCTGCACATTGGGGTCACCTGGAGAGCTTTTCAAAGTACTGGTGTTTAGGTCCCACTCCTAGAGGTTTTGCTTTGACCAGTCTGGTGTGGGTCTGGGTATCATGATTTTTAAAAGCCCTCCAAGTAATTCTAATGTGCAGCCAGGATTGAGAATCACTGCTCTATGGACGAAAAAAAAAAAAAATCCTAGGCTGGGAGTGAAAAGAGTTAAAAAAAGAAAAGTGAGTAAATCAACATGATCCACTGTTCTATTTCTGAAAGACAAAGACACCTATTCCTGTAGGAGTAAATGAGCCCAGTCACCTTAATTCAGAATTTGCAGCTTTGCTCACTGTTTTGCAGTCTCCATGTTATTAATTTTCTGTTTCATAAACCTGACAAACATAATTGTTAATTACATACCATACACTCTACCTTCACAGTAATGGTTTCTCTCAGAACCCTCATCTGATATAAAGCTATAGTACAATGCCCTACTATATTAAATTTCAATTTAATTATCTTTATTACAGCATCACTTTCTTGGAGGAAATTATTAACTCTGAGATGGACTTACAATAGGAGAGAAAGGGAATGCAGGGAGCATTGCCCTAAAGCCCTGTGCTACTATATAGGCTTCAGCTGCAGGCACAAGAGCGACAATAAAATAGTTGAAAAATGAGCTTCTCTTCTATTTCCTCAGCTCCCTGTGATGTGATTCCCTCAAAGGTCCCTACTGGCACACACAAAGTAAATGGCATAAGGAATTGGACTTTAACGCACAACTCATTTGTGTGTGCATACGCACACTTTAAAGGCAAAGAATGATTCTTAAATAACTAGCACAGGAGAGAACAGGAAGTAGCTCATGCAAAGTACATATTTGTGGCATAATAATTAATCTTTTAGGAGTTAAACTTTATTTAGCACCATGCACCTTTAAAAAAAAGCTTAAGGTATTTAACTTTTACTTGCAATGACTTTCAGTAAGACTCTCTTTAACCTTGGCTTGAAAATTAAAAGAGCTAGAAGCTTGCAAGCTTCCCAGAAGTAATTGCCTCCCTAAATTAGTACTAAGGGGCTTGAATCCCATGCAACTATGATATGAGGTGATTGAGAAAGAATGAACTAGAAAATGGGACCACAGAGCCTTGAGACTCTGTGTTACTGGAGCAAAACAATGAAATAAATTGTAT